GCGTGTGACCCTTTTAAAAATCACGTGAGGTCGTGGTGGTTTAGGAATGGGCCAAAGCCCATGCGGAATGTTTTGGGTGCGATCAAAGGCCCAAATGGGTCAGCGGGCCCGACCCAGTTTTTTAAAAAGGCGTGTGAGCCTTTAGTGAACCACGTGACTGGGGACACGACTTTGATAGACGAGGTTAACGGTCTATCATCGTCCCCAGTCGCGAGACAGGGGTGGAAACGCGCGCAGTGCCGGAAAGTGGAGAAGAAGCCCGAGCTGCAGTGGATTTCGCGACAAAGGCTGAAGGAGCTTAGCCCCTGCGACGCCCCTCAGAGAGGCCGAAGCCAAGATACGCTAGGGGAATAACTGAAGAGAACGAAGAGAAGAATGAAGGCTGGGTGCAATGCAATGAAGGTGATGAAGAATCGGAGGACTTTTCTGTTGATGGTACTAGCGTGGCCAGTGTAAATGACGAAGGCAGTTGTGCTGGAGGTGACATGGATGGGTGGAATATTGCAAGTTTATTCCAGGGTGAAGATTGTAAGCGGCTCAACTCAGTCCCAAGATCACAGAGTGTGCAAGGATTATCAGAAGGGGCAGACCGAGAGAACCGGAAGCAGAGCAGGAACACACCATCTAGGGGTGAACCAGGGGTAGAATGGAAAGATCACCAGGGTGACCAAAGGATGGAAGTACTTCCCAACCAACTCAGGGAGATAGACGTTTACCAACCTCTAGAACAAGAGAGGGAGGCAGGTAGTAGTCCTCTTCTAGCTTGTCCATTAGTCCCAGGTAACCAAGTGATTTCGGTTTGTTCTACTAATGTGTCTCCTGTGTCTTTGGTTCCAGATTCCATTCCTGTTCCATGTTCTATAGCCCATGAATATGTAGCCGAGCCAGCAGACGGGCTCTCCGAGGAGGGGGAGAGGGGAAGGAAGGATTGTGGGAAGGTGCCGGAAGGAAGGTATAGGAGTGAAAAAGTGTGGGAAATCATTGAAAGAGTGTTTAAGGAAGTGGAAGGAAAGCTGATCTAGAGGAGGGAAGGGGAGGAAGGAAGAGGGGAGGGGATAGTGGAGAGGAGGGAAAGGAATGAGGGTAGAGATGGAGAGGACTACGGGGGGAGAGCAAGGAAGGAGGGAGGTAATAGGAAAGGGAGGGAGGATGGAGAGGAAAGAATAGAGGTGGGACCAGAGGAGAGGAAGAAAAGACAGGTGGACAAAGTTGGAGGAGATTTTATAGGAAAGGTAGGGTTGGGCTGCAAGTTGGAAGATTTGAATGTGTTGAAAGAAAGCTTACAGAAGAGGAAGGAGAAGATTAGAATAAAGAAGAGGAGATTGAGTGAAGTAGAGAGATTGAAGAGATGTAGGAGACAAGAGGCTCGAGGTAAAAGGAGATAGAAGGAAAGGGGATAGTAGTGGTAGGTGGCAAGGGGTG